CCCCCCCGGTCCTCTGCACGCCCCCAGGGCTCAGAACAAACTGGTGAATGCTGGCCTGGAATGATGCCAATTTCACTCCTTTATCCGATGAGTACTTGCATATCTAATGGGGGCAAGTCACTGAGACACACACACAGATGAACCGGACCATCCCTGCAGTCACGAAATGTCAGTGAGCAGTGCACATAAATCACTAAAATACCAAGGAGAGATTAGTAAGGGCCCCAGCAGAGGGGCTGGGAATGTTTGGTGATGGGAGCTCACGTCCAGCTGTGGCTACAGTAGGGGGGTATCAGGGCAGGCTTTGTGGGGCAAGGGGACCAGGCCAGGAAGGAAAGCGACACCTGCAGGGCTGGGGGGGGAGGGCACAGAAAGTGCACAGAAGGGGACATGGCAGGAGGCTACCTTAAAGACCAGGAATAAGGATGCAGGGACCAAGGCTATGTGAAATAGATTTGAGGGGCTTAGGGTAGGACGTGCAGGTAGCCCCATCACCAAAGGCCTAAAGGATAGGCCTAAGGAGATAAACTTCACCTCTAGCCACAGTGCTCAGCACTGCACCTTGCTCACATAGACCCTCATTAATGCCGTGGAGCAAAATGCAGGAAGGCAAGTTCTTGTGTGTGAAATGTACGACAATCATAGAATATGCCACAAAAATATGCCCCAACTCTTTATCAGTTGGTATCTGGTCAGAATCACGCCTGAGTTTAGCTCCACTATCTGAAGCATTTGCTACCTTCTGCCCCAAATGGAGACCATAATACTTCCCATCGCTTCTCACCCAAGAACACTGTGAAAATTAGTGATAAGGTAATGTCTGAAATGCTCTGAGCTCTTTGGAGATGTGTGGCAAAAGGCATCACTATTATTAATATCTAAAGAGATTTTACCCAGCTCTGATCTTTTTCTGCAGACTAATGTTACGTCCACAGGGTAAGGTGATGCCAGATTGGCCTCTACATAAACCTTTCCAACAGACAGCGCCCAGCGCAGGTGCCTCACCCTGAACCCCTTACCTGGGGTTGATGGAGCCTTCGATCCCAATGATGCCGGGCTTGTTTCTGACTGGTTCTCCGAGGTTGCCAGAGCACAGGGGTGAAATGAACCAGGCAGAAGAGCAAGACAGATTTCAGAAGGTGGTCTTCCTTGGGACCCCATTTTTTACACACTCGAGAGAGTCCAGTGAAGACTTCAAGGGGAGTCATTTTAGCAAAACCCACATCCTATGCCAGTTAACATTTTTAGGTCTAATGCAGTGCCCAAGAAAGGAAGAAATAAGAATACCTCCATGGGCTCAATTACAACTGCAGTGGAAAGAATAATTTCAAAAGTTCAAGGGGAAAAAAAAAATCAGTCAATTTCCTTCCCCCAAAGCTTTCACATCTATAAATACACTCATGCAAATGGACCCAAGACCACTCTTCCTTATGAAAATACTACCTGTCTGGCATTTGCAAGATAAACCACAGTCAAGTCGCCATCTTGCTTTCAACCTCTGAAGCTCAAACAGTGCTCTCCAGTAGCTTCTCTCTTCTTAAATAACATTCATTTACCCCTGCGGATTATAGAATACATGTGCCTGGCAGAAAATTATGAAATTACAGTTGACTCTTGAACAACATGGGTTTGAACTGCGTGGACCCACTGAACATGTGAATTTTTTTTCAATAAATAAAGTACTCTATTTTCCTAACATCTTTTTTTCTATCTTACTCTATTTTAAGAACATAGTATATGATCTGTGTAACATACAACGTATGTGTGAACTGACTGTTCACCAGCGAGGCTTACAGTTAAGAGCAGGCTATTAGTAAAGCTTGGGGGGAGTCAAAATGACACACGGATTTTTGACTGTGTGAGGGGTTGGCGCCCCTCACCCTGGGTTGTTCAAGGGTCAAATGCTCAAAGAAGGAAGCAAGATAGAGTCCAGCATCTTGATCTTTTGGCTGTTTGTGCTGGTCGGCAAAGGAGTGGAACTGTGGGTACTGCAAGCAGGGGTGGCCGCACTCAGCACTGCGGTGCCCAGTCACCGGCTGCAGGGACCCAAGCAGCGGTGTCGGGCAGGAGGGGCGTCTCCACGCCTGGCCTGAGGAGCAGCCTCCGCTGTGTGCTCTTGAACCTAGCAGTTCCAAGGGCCACCTCCAGATTCCCACATGCGCAGCCCTTTCACAGTTCTACAGCTTTCTGTCCACGTATGAAATCCCCTTTTAAAGAGATCTAGAACAATGTGTTTTCCGTCCTTCACTCTGACTGCTTCCTCTCTCCCAAGAATGAGCTTTCGGAGCTGCCCCCTGCCCTGTGTGTGGCCCGAGCCAGGCAGAGTGACTGGCGGGGCTAAGCACTTCCTTGGATTTGGCTCCACTCTGACGGCAGCCTGACTCATGGGCCTCCTCTGGCAGCCCCACAGCACAGGTGACCCATAGCTAGCTACTGATCAAGGCCAAGGCCTCCTCTTCCAGCCCAGCTGGGCTGTATCCTCACCATGGACTCCGATGGCCCTTCCAGGCTAAGCACGACACTTCATGTTTCTCTTTATTAACACTTACCCATTAGATCTGCCATGGGGTGCAGCCTGTAAGATCTGTAGACTCTGACTTCCCCAGGCCCCACCCTCCCATAGGAACCAGCGGCCACATAATCACAGCAACACCAAAGAGGAGAGGTCAAGTCCAACACGGCCATCACTTTATGTTTCCGCTGAAGACCAGCACAACTTTAGATGCTGCCTTCTGGCTTCATACCCACGCCAGAACAAGGCTTCTTTTTCCTTCTCACTGTAAAAATAAAAATGGAAATGAACAGAAGTAGTGGCTGTGTGTGGCCAAAACGCTCTATGTGGAAAGCACGTTTCTAGGTGATTCTCCTCCGCTTCGACTGGTGTCCCGAGGTCTGGGCTGGAGGCAGCGGGATGGACAGAGTGCCCAGTTTGTGACTCTCCTCCCCACCAGCTGCTAGAGACACCCTTCTTTTAGAGATCTGCAGCCTCAGGGCTTTCGCCATCTCAATCATCCTAAGGAACAAACACAGAACAAATGGGGGAGAGTGTTCTCAGTAGGCTTGACACGAGGGAGCAGCACATTCACGCTCCTGGCCACGAAGACAGAACCCCCAACGTGGCCACCAGAGAAAGCAGAGAAGGAAACAAGACCCAGAGACATCAAAGGCAATTTCATTTTAATGTCTTGCCATCAGAAAATATCCATATAAGTAATGGAAAACCAGGCTATCTCGACACTATTAATAACTTCGTTTACTTCTGATAACCAGGACTGGGCACTTGCTAGCATTTTGGTAGAACCTGTACAGGCTCCAAGTATCTTATCGCTCTTTTATTTTCAAACTCACTGCCTGTGAGAATACCTTCTGTGGACAGCTCTCAGGATAACAAGGACTGCTACAAGAATCCAGACAAGGGTACCCTCACAGGCTCTCTTGGACCACCGCCAGTAGCCTTGGATACCAGATGCCCCAAATCACCAACAAAGGCCAACATATCCCACAGTTCACGATCCTAGAAGTTCTGCTCCCTACTTAGTCTGAATCCCTCCTAGCAATCCTGGAAAGGGCCCAAGACCACAACTCTGCTATCTCTCCCAGGACCCTCCAAGTCTGTCCCTGCTGCTCAGCAGGGCTGCTGGGTCACAGAAGTCCCCATGTAACATCCCTGACAAATGGCAGCCCCACCTTGCTTCCAACACCTCACCTGGCAACCCCTTCCATCTGACTCAAAGAAAGTTCTTTTTGTTAAGCTGAGATTGGGGTCTCTTACAACTTCCAGCCCTGGGCTCCACCCCTCATGACCATACAGACCCCCTCTCCCCAGTAACAGCAATTCCGAGATTGCTTGGTTACAAAGGGACAGAATGCTATGGGAAGGCTCAGGCTTGAAGCCCAACTATTTCCCATCTTGGTTGTGTGAGCCTGGGAAAGTCACTGACTTCTCTGAACTGAGGGTTCTCCTGTTGTTTTGTAGGGAAATCACTGAGATCATCACAGACTTAAAACTGTTCCTCGAATAGACAAGGCACTCCATGTCTGGCTGCTCATCCCTTTACTCAGTCAGGCACTGACAACTGTCCCCCGGTCCCAAGTCTCATCCATACTACATGTCCCCAGTTTCCTTGATGGTGCATCCTGCTTTCCAGCAGTACTAGAAATACATCAAGCACCCTGCAGGGAGCTTGTTATTCTGTGGTGCTCACCTTCTCTCACTGAGCTTCAAGTCTCTCTGTAATACAGTCAGGTCAATCTGGAAGTCGCTTATGTGCAAGGCAAGTATGATTACATATGCAGTGATCTTCGCCTTCATAGAATCCGAAATTAAGTTCCGGAGGCTACAAAAGCAATGGCAGTGAAGGAGAGACAGCATTAAACTCTAAGATGATTATTCCGAAAGCAAAATAAAAACATCCAGGCCTGTTCTCATGCACACTCAATGTCTTCCCATCTTGGGGAGAAGAAAAGAAGTTGAGCACCATTCCTGGTCCTGTCAAGGTGCCCACGCCTTCACACACAGTGGAGCAGTGAGCCAACCTCAGTGTTCCCTCCAAGTGGGTCAGAGAAACCCACACGTATACTTTCCCCAGGCAGTTTGAGCCTCGCAAAGACAAGGACCCTCCGAGCCTGTCCCTGCTGCTCAGCAGAGCTGCTGGGAGAACAGTCATCCCAAACCCAGTTGCTGATGATGTTTCCAAGCACACTCAGAGCAGAAAACACAGTCTAAGCAAAGGGCAAGAAAGAAGGCCAGATGTGCCGCTGGGGGTCCTCTCCCCAAACCCCTACAATGGCCTGCCCTTTCCTGCTACACTGTCTTCCCATGGAACACTGGCTCTGTGGGCTATGAGGAAGGGTTCCTGGAAAGAAGTCTCCAGGGCAGGACTTCCCAGAGCCTCTGATGGGAGCTTCTCCAAAGGGGACAGAGCATGTAATATATAGGGTTTTCTCAACTGACTTGACCCCAGGCCCCTGCAAAGGGCCGTGAGTGCTCTCCTCAGTGGTGTCTGCGGACATGGAAGCCAATCCACGCTCTGGTCCCACCCTCCCCGCCCACTTTCTCCTTTATAGGCAGAAGCCCGGAGGTCAGTCCCAGACCTGCCGTTGTTGTAGGTCAAGCAGGTGAAGTGCTTCAGTAGTTTGGTGGTGATGATGTGGGGGACTCCAGGCCCCAGGGCACCTGCAACGCAAAGGTGAGTTTGCTCATTTTATTTCCAAACCCTTGGACCACACCTCCTCCGTGAGCTGGGACAAGAGGCCAACAGCTGTGCCACCGCAAGGAACAGAACCATGTGGTAAGCAGGGGCCCGTGAAACAGGAGAGCCACTTCCCGACGCAAACACGCTCGGGGGTGCTTCAGCCTGCAGGCCGCACGCCCCCAACAGACGTCTGTGATGGGGCAGGAGTGAGAAGGAAAAACAGACTCCAATGAGGCCTAAAGCAGCAGAATTCGTAAGATGCAACAACAAGATTGTGGCAAAAGCCCAGGGAGAGGGAAAGGAGGGGAGACTGGAACGTGAAAATGAGCAGCAAGTAATGACAACATACAGACTCTCGGGAGCTCAAGCGCCGTAACAAGATGGCACCACCTTGTGCCTAAAACCACAGGTGGGTTTCCAACTCCGCACAGATTGGAGTGCAGGGCAACCCCCCCTCCCCCCGTGGCCCTTGCTGTAGGTGACACGGGTTACCAGGGGAAATGGACTCTCTTCTTTCTCAGTGGGAAATAAGCTGACACAAGATAGCCTTGCCACCAGCCTTCACGTGAGCAAGGCCGATTTTTCTCCACACAAGACTGATGTTTGTCCAACCATCCCTTAAAATTTTCATTTGATTTGACTGGACACTATACTTTGCCCAATGCAGAAGAGAAGTAGATAATGTTAGCTCTGAACAATTGTACAACCCAGCCTGTCCCCACTTTCAGATAGGGAAAGGGCTGGGCCAATCCTCCCGGCATTTTGGCGGTGCCTACAGGAACCTCACTGTTACACAGAAATAAAGATCTAGACAAGTACATGCATTTTCTTCTCTCATCAGAACTGGTCTAAGAGACAAATAACAGGCTGAAAATAACTAGAATAAATGTCTACCATGGACTTACTTTTCCGCTTAATCACTTTCTGTGCTCGAAATTTCATGAGTGTGTCCAGAAACCATATGCATCGGGCCTGGCGGTCTCGGCTCTCCTCATCTGATGGCAAAGACTTCAACGCTTCTATGACAAAGGAGCAGTGGCTAAAACGGGGCGGGGGGGGGCAAGGGAGGAATGTGTAAGACCAAGTCTGTCAGGAGCACTTCACACTCTCACAATGAAAACAGTGGGCATACCCCACAGCTGATACACGCTCAGCAGTCGAGGAAGGGCCATCCCACTAATGCTCCTCATAACACAGTGAGCACGCTTCAGAGCTAAGGCACTAAAGGGCTAGTCAGGAAATATTTCGGGCTTTGTGGCCCATATGGTCTCTGCTGCAGGTACCCAAAGCCACCAGCGTACTGCGAGAGCAGCATTATAATACACAAACGACCGGCCATGGCTGTGTTCCAATACAGCTTCATTCACAGGCAGCAGACTGGACCTGGCCCACAGGCCACAGGCTGCCCCATCCTGATGCAGTGGTCTGGGCCACAGGCTCGTGGGTCAGACTGCCTGGGTCTGAACCCCCTCTCTGCCATTTAGTGGCCTGGGCAAGTTTCTATCTTCTAAACATCTCTGTACATCATCTTCACCTAAAAATTTAGGACAAAGATAGTGGCCTCCCCCTGGGGGTTTTCTCTGTATTAAATGAGCCAATGCAAGGAAAGCGGGTAGAACAGTACTCGGCACATGTAAGAGCTCCATCAGTGTTAGCTATTGTCCTTACGTACTGTTCCACCACCACGAGGATCCCGGACTCACAGAGATAAGAAGGCTCTTCAAGATCAGCTTACAGCGGCCTCATGTTGCAGATAAGAAAACTGAGGCTCAGAGAAGGGAACATCACACAGTACCTCAGGCCGAGCTCAGGGACTCAGCTCTCCAGACTCTCAGCCCTGAGCTGATTCCTGCACCTGCTGCAGAGCCACAATTACATTAAGACAACCAAGAACCAAGAATAAGCTTTTCTGGAAACGTATCCTTGGAACAACAATGAAAAAAGCACTTTCAAAAATCAGGGAACCAACCTAGGGTTGGCAATTTTTTATTTTCTCAAGATGAAATTATTAAAAGAAAAAACTGAAAAGCAAGAAAATTCCACTATCATCATAAAAGAAAAGCTGCTTTAAGGGCCAAAGGAGACGGGACATAATCTGAGTTCTTTAAAATATACAGTACTTAAACGTGTAAATTTAACTTTTTTTAAAGATTTATTATTATTTTTTTTAAAGATTTTATTTATTTGACAGAGAGACAGCGAGAGAGGGAACACAAGCAGGGGGAGTGGGAGAGGGAGAAGCAGGCTTCCCGTGGAGCAGGGAGCCTGATGTGGGGCTCGATCCCAGGACCCTGGGATCATGACCCGAGCCGAAGGCAGATGCCCAACTACTGAGCCACCC